AGCTTCATCATACTAGTGTTCTGACATAAGATCTTTAGCTCTCTCACTCTCTCTCGTCTGTCTTCTCTCTCCTTCTCCATCTCTCTCTCTCTCTCTCTTCCTTCCTTCCCTCTCTCTCTCTCTCTTTCTCCCCCTCTCTCTCTCTCTCTCTCTCTCTCTCTCTCTCTCTCTCTCTCTCTCTCTCTCTCTCTCTCTCTCTCTCTCGCTCGCTCGCTCGCTCGCTCGTTTTTGCTCGCATCCCGCTGCTTGGTTTCTGCAGTTGCCGTAGATTTCTTTGTTTACGGGTTTGGCTGTGACTTCTAGAGGGCTAGGCGAGCACGTGCGGTGTAGCCAGGAAGGCTTGCCTTTTTTGGCGTGCTTGCAGGGGTCTGTCTTTTCGACGCGGATATCCCGGAGAGCAGCAGCAGACGCAGCAAAAGCGGGGATGCGAAGAAGGGAAGCAGCAGCAGCGGCACCAGCAAGAGCGAGGACGTAAGTTCGGAAGAAGAAGAAGAAGCATTGCGCTCATTGCTAGTACCGGATGCCTCTGGCGGCTGCCCAGTAGCGAACGGCAGCGAAGAGAAGAGGAGCGACGCTGGCAGCGGCGATTCGGACTTGCGGCAGCTCAAGCAGCGCCTCCTTGCATGCAGGAAGTGGTCTTGCGAGCTCGTGCAGAAGCTTGTTTTGCAACGCATCCGCCCGTCTGAGCCAGGGGGACCCCTGCGGGAGGCTAAAGACGTTTCGGCTTCATCTTGTACAGAGGCTGCTCCTGCAGCACCCGTTGCAGCCTTACGCAGCAGTGCTGACAGCGATGAAGCTTCTAACGAGGCGAGCACACCGACGCCTTCAGCTGTTACCTCGGCGGCCGGTGCCCCAGCAACAGCAGCAGCAGCAACAGCAGCAACAGCAGCAGCAGCAGCAGCAGCAGCAGCAGCAGGCCTCTGCCCCAAATGTCTTTCGCTGCAGGCGGCTGTGCGGCGTCTGCGGCTGCGCGTTGGTGACTGGCGGACGAGGGCTATGATAGCTGAGCAGCAGCATGCCAGCACCGCTGCTGCCGCAGCAGCAGCAGAACTAGAGATTTCGCGGCTCAAAAAGCAGCAGGTAATGCTGCATGCTGCAACGGGAGCTCCTGCAGCGGCTGCACTCTTGACAGCAGCCATCAAAGGCGAGGAGATCCGGGAGGACGACTCGACGTTAGACTCTGCAGCAACCGTGCAGCAGCAGCAGCATTTGGCAGCAGTTGCGGCACCAGCTTCAACTACAGAGGGGGGGGGTGCAACAAAGGGTCAATCTCCGGCAAGCCCGGCGGTAGCTGATGGTGTGAGTGAGGAAGGCATGCAGCAGCAGCAGGAACGGCAGCAGCACGATGATAGCGGGGGTGAGGACGAGTCGGATTCGGTTGCAGTTCTGTCAGTTCGACTACAGCAGAAGGAGCAGCAGCTGCAGGAGCTGGTAGAGGAGCAGGCGAAGCTGAGGAAGGCTGCCGACGAAGCTGCGGCCATGCCTGTCGTAAAGAGAATTCAGATTATGAGCAGTCCTCCCTTCATTGAGCTCCAGCAGCTCTGTGCGGAAAGGGACTTACTTCTGGTGCGTGGGTGTCGGGGTTGAGAATCGAGCAGGGAGCGGTATCTGCGAGGCTTTTTGGACTCGTAATGGTGGCTGTGGCATGCAGTAAAATTCTCGTAGGCAGAGCAGACTGAACACTGGCCTAACGGATACGTCTCGTGAGGACGCTAGCCGACTGTTCTCTATGGAGTGTTGTGAGGAGAACGGTCTTACGGAGTGTGTGCTTGCATGCACAATGAATGACGAGAGCGAGGCGATGCAATAAGGAAAAAACGGAGGGATTCAAGGCACTAGGACAGTGCCTGCAGCCCTTATATATGTGCGCGTCAAAGAAAGGCGTTTAAGGCTCGGAGTTTGTGCTTGCAGGCAGCGAAGTCTACCGAAGTTGATGAACTACGGCGCGAGCTGCTGGCGGAGCAGAGCAAAACAGATGCAGCGTTCGACGAGCTGGCGGTACGATTCGAATGCTACGCTTTCGATGACACAGCAGCTGCGGGGACAGGCCTGACGCCCAAACAGCTGAGGGCTTAAAGGGGTGTGGAGGTTTTTGCGGGTGTGTGCAGCGGAAGCAAGCGGAAGCAAGGGAGCAGCTTTCTGAGAGGCTGACTTCTTTGTTGGAAGAGAACCAAACTCTCAAGGCACAGAAGGAAAGTGTCCTTCTAGAGGTACTTCGCTGTATATATATGTGTGTGTGTCTGTATGTGTTTCTGTATGTATGCATGTACGTATCTGCGGCTCTGGATGCCTCTGATTGTAAGATGTAGTTAACACGCCGTTTCTTTGCTCTGCGTGTGGCCACTGCCTTTGCGTTTCTTCCGCGCTGCTCCCCGGATCCGCCTTTCTTCATAGCACAATTTGGACCCTCTCCTATCCTTTTTGAATGGTGCGTCCTTCTATTAAAGTACATATGCGGCCCAATGCTTACCTGCTGTAGGTGAATGCCTTGAAGGACCAGCTGGAAGCCTCACGCCACATGCAACAACAGCTGGAGACGACGGCCTCCCAACGTGCCCTACAGCAGATGCAGTTGAAAATTCAGTATGACCAACTCAAGAACGCAAGCAACCAAGTGCTCGGTACGGATGCTTCCTTGTGCTCGCAGCTATTGCATCTGTACTGCTTCTATCCTCATGGAATCCTTGTGTTTGCGTCTGTTGCACATGCGACTCTCTTTGGCTGGCTGTTTCTGACTGCTTTGGCGGTACAGTGCGGAATGAGCGGCTCAAGGCTGAAAAACAGCGGATCATAGAAGCGTTGAAGGTCTCTGTAGGTTGAGGATTCCTCTTGCCGCTGCTGTCATTCTCGCGTCTGTCATTTGAGTTTGCTCTGGGCCCTGCTTTTGCTTCTTAAAGGCCTCCCTCTTTGACTTTTGATGCTCCCTGCGCCGCGCCGCCTCCTCCTGCCTGTGCAGTCATCAGCTGCGCGTTGCTGTTGCCGCTTCCTATGGGCTGGTGCCCAGCTGCAGCTGTACCTTTCTGCTTCATCACAGCAAGCTGCTGCAGCAGCAGCCAAAGTCGTGTGGATCTGTTTATGTGTGGCTGCACAGGAGATGAACTGCCTGCGCCTCAGCAGCTCTCTGCGTACTGCTGGAGGCACTGCCACGGATGCAGCAACGGCAGATGCAGCAGCAAGGGAAGCAGCCGTGAAGGAGGAGCAGACTTCGGCAGGTGCCTCGGCGGAAGAAGAGGGTTCGCGATTGCGGATCGAGCTAGAGGTAAGTATTGGATCCGACGGGAGGCAGCCGCTAAGGGGCCAAAAGGCGCTGGGGGCAGGCACTGGAAGCTCGAAGCGTATTTATTGATTTCTCCGTGGAAGGGGATCATGGAACATGTGTCATATGTCAGTACGTCGTTTGCTGCAGGCGATGCAGAGACGGCTGAATGAGCAGCAGGAGCTAGAAGCAGAGGTCTCAGAGCTTCGCCAGGTGGGAAAACTCCCAGTCACAGTCTGGAATTCGGCAAATGTGTGTGTTGGGCAAACGCCAGCGCTTCTATATCTTCTTTGGGTCCAAAGTCGCTACGGCCTGGCTGCTGTTGCCGATGCTCTTCCTGATGTGCTGCGCTTGCTGCCTGGCTGTGATTGCTGTTGCAGCAATACTCGCACGTTACCGAAGAGTTGGAAGAAGTGTCGAAGGCGTTCGAGGAAAGGCAGACGCACTATGAATCTCTTCTGAGGCAACTGAGGGAACGGTGGGGAAGCGCTTCCTCAGATGCTGCCCTTTGTCTAGCTGGTTGCTTGCAGCCGTGTGTCTGAAGAACGTGCCTCCAGCAGCAGGGGGGAGGGGGCTGTGTGTGCCTGCCGCAGCATACAGCGCAGCACTCATCTGGGGAGCTAGAACAATCACAGGACGTCGCTGCTTCTACGTTGCATTGCGTGTGTATGTCTTTTATCGCGCAGGGATGAGGCGCTGCTGCAGCAGAAGGCATCGGCAGAAGCAGCGCAGCAGCAGCTGCTGCTTTTGCAACGGATTGGACGGCTGCAGGATCAGAAGCTACAAATTGAGAAGCAGCACGTCGAGCAGTTGGCTGCAAGCGCAAGGGCGTTCTCGGATGCTCTTCAGCAGGCCCAGCGCAGAGCTGTGCGCAGAGTTTAGGGTTTACATTTTAGGGGGGTTGCTTGGCGCGTATTCGGCTCTTTAGGGGGCCTCATTAGGGAGCGAGGCGCATGGGGTGTATGTGCATTTGAGTGCAGGTCGTGGCAGATCAGCAGCGCGATGAAATTGCAACCTGCTTTGAAGCCCTTCGGAGCGAGCGCGAGAAGCTTTTCAAAAGCGTGCGGCGGCTCTTGTATCTAGACACAGGGGATTCAGCCTATGGGTTGTACTTGAGAGGTCAGGGTTGTTGGAGTTAAGGGTTGGACGCAAGGCTTTTCGCGTGTATGTGCTCTGTATTATTGCAGAACGACGAAATGACGCGGGAGCTGCAGTTGCTGACTGAAGCGAACAAAGTGTGTCACCCTTATTTAGACAATAGGTCGTACAAGTGAACGCAAGTTTCATTTCCGTGGGAGAGTTGTCTTCCTGGACGCTGTTTTCTTGTAGGCAGGGCACAGGTGCCGCGTGGTCCTTGTCTAATGGCGTGTATAGGTGTGTGGTTTGCTTGCGTCCCTAGGCATCGTCAAGTGTGCTCGAGCAGCACCAGACGAAGTTGCAAGCACTGGAGGCTTCACTCAGGAGGCAGGCAGAGGCCAGAGCGGAAGCGGATAAGCGACTCGAGAAGCTGAAAGAGAGACACGAGAAGCAGGAGCGCAAAAGATGTGGGCAGGAGTCTCTCTCTCATAGCTGGTGGATGCCTTTGAGGTTTGCAGTGCTCATAGAGTTGGTTAGCAGTTCACAGATTAGAAAGAATAAGGGAACGTTCATGATGTAGGATTGCTGTTGGTGATGTGCGCAGTGCTCGCGGCAGCGGAAGATCCCTCTCTGGCAATTAATAATTTGCTGCAAGAGGAAAATGAAACGATGCGCGTGAGTTTCGAGGGGAAGGGAAGGGAAGAGATGGGAAGCGGGCTCGGCTTTATGGATGCGTGCTTAGGGTTTGAGGCTTCAACACATGGTGGGTTGACTTAGAGCGTCATGGGCTTGTGCTTCAGCGGCGGCTTCTTTGCGGCGTGTGCAATGAGCGGTTCAAGGACCACATGCTGATGAAATGTGGCCACATGTTTTGCCAAGGTGTGCATATGGAACTGCTTGGTTAGAGTTGAGGGATGTCACGTCTTGAGCGGCCTTCAGCGCGCCGACAGGGGGGGGAGGGGGTAAAACGACAAAGGCAGCTTTTCGCAGGGCAAGAAGGAGGGGCACAAATTGAAGTGACCGAGTTGCAAGGCCGCATGCAAACCGGCGTGCAGTGTGAGGATTGCAGAGAGGGCGGGAAGTGGGTGGAGCCTTTACATGGGAGACATGGGAGAAACACGACATTGAGTTAAGTGTTTGGTCTGTAATTTGGCCGGTCTGCAGAGTGCATTGAGAAGAATGTCAAGGCGCGCAACCGCAAATGCCCACACTGCAGTAAGCCATGGAGAACACCCCCTTTCATGAAGGGGTTTTTTTCCGTTGACCTAGCTGGCTGTCCAGTATGTGCAAGTCGGAGTTGTTGGTAAGGGAGGGAAGGAAGGCGTGTAGCTAGCCAGTTCGCTACAGGCGAAACTTTTGAGGTGGCTCGTATCAGGTGAGGTCACGGTGACTCGAGAATCCCCTGGTATGGCGTGCTTTTTCACTGGATGCCCTCAGAAACGCAGTTTGACCAGAAGGACATTCGCAAGGCGTATCTCCATAATTGACGTTGGGCGGTTTTGCGGCGGCTGCTCGTACAGTTGAATTGCTTCAGCTGTCTGTGGCGCCTTGCCACTGTAGCTACATCTTTTGACTCTAATTGAGCAGACGCCCTTAGGGGCCTTGGTGAGGCCTTAGAAAAGGGTGTATTCACCCAAGATGCCTACACGGATCCGTGCCGAGGCAGAGCGCGTGCAACAATTTTAGAGGAAACTTCCTAGGGTGAACACAACGGGAGGGGCCCCGTTGGGGCCCCAAGTGCGGCAGTTGCAGGCCAGGCCACTGCGGCCGTCTCTAGCCCTCTATCTTTTATGCACCCTCCGCAGTGAGTTCTCTCCGGAAGAACGCTTTGAGGGTCTGCAGACGTCGCAAAAAGGGGGTTGCCGCTGGAGATCAAGTTGGGGGAGCAGTGGGGATGGCCTGCGGAGACTCCAATGTGACCTCCATCACTAAAACCTTAATGAGAATTGTCCTCTGCACGTGGATGGATATGTTGGTCAGAAGGCTTGAGCAGAGCGGTCTTTTGAAGCAGTTAAAGGTTGTTGCTACTACCTACGGGAGCCCTCAAGGGGCGTCTCTGCCTCTTGGGGGCCTCTTTATAGGTGCTTTAGGGGCTGGAATAAGTCTGCGATGGTATGAAACATATTGGGCACTCCACATGCGCTAGGCGAAGGGACTTTTCACTGTACTTTTCCCTGCGAGGCACGGAGTTTCCACACTGTTTACTTGGCAGTGCTTCTATCTGCACCGCTTCCATTAGAGCTACTTACTCGCGTACTATCTTTTTTGGTTTATATGAGATACTGGAAACACCGCATGACCCCAACAAACACAAGAAGTACGGGCCCTTTCTCTCACGCCATGCAGCAAGCAGAGGCATCTGCATGACGCCCTTTTGAAAACATATTCTTAACGGGGCTCCACTAGAGGCTTCTGCGGGGGCAGAACAATCCAAGGCCTTCATAAACACCTGTGAATTTCTTGAAAGTCCGAGAAAAGCACAAGGGAAGCTTGGCCAACTCCAAGAAGCGGTAGCGGAATGTGTCTGCCAATGCTGAACAAGACCACGTAACCCTGCGTCTCGCGAAAGCACGTCCACACTACTATGTTGTCGGTTTTTGAGTCCACCCGCGTTTTGTAGTGGGGCTTAGCTACACTTCCATGGTTTCACCTAATGACACTCTGCAGAGTCACCTATTTAATGTGGCTTTTCATATATCTAACTTGCTGCAGAATGGCCCTAGCTCAATACAATAAGAAGCATCATGTTTGCATGGGCACGGTATGTTGCTCTGTGAAACTCGCTGTAGAAGTTTGGAGTACCTGGCCGGTGCAGCTCAGTGGAGACCCCCTGTGTCGTTCCCCTCATGTCAGAAGGGAAGCGGTCATGGGAATGCGACAGTTCTTTTCCAAAAACGGTCAGTAACTTTCTGTTAGGTTCGTATTGAATCAAGCATGATGGGTTTCATAAATCAGGGCTCAAGTGGGGCCTCACACCAGTAGGAGTCTAGTTCTATCAACCGAACATGCATCAAGAGATTACAATGCCTTACCATTAAGATAAGATTCAGAGGCCCACCAATTGTCAAAGAAGCTGTCTTAGAACCAGGCTTTCGGGCTTGGGGTGCAACTAACTGTATTGCTTTTTATAGGGGCTCCGTAGAATGGCGCTCAACCCCAGCCCCAATAAAAACTTTGTAGAAAGTAATTGACCACTGCCTGAAAGTGCTCCCTCATTCCATGCTTACTCCCTCCAGAGTTCCAGACATGAGGACTGAGACAGCTAGGCTGAATGGAGCTGCGCCCTTCAAGCACTCCGACCATTCATGACTAGTTTTACAAAGCATATAGTGCAATCGCACACAACAGTGAATCTTCTTGTAACGAGATAACAGTACTCCAGCAAATTAGATCTACCAGCAGAAAAAGCCACGCAGTCAATTTTTAAAATACTTCTTGTAGAAAATTAGTAGAGTAGACAGCGTCGAATGTGGCTTAAGGCCCTACATACACCAGCAGCCTACCACATGCTTCGAGAATTTTTCATTTGTAAGCCCAAATATCCTGCCTTGGTAGAGCCTCCAGAAGCCATTTATAGCTGCATATAGAACCACGTGTTGCATGTCTTCTACATGTGCTGAACGCGCCTCAGGAAGGGAGAGAGAAAATCCTTCGGACCTCAATTGCTTTCGGTTTTGCAAGCGCAGGAACGCATGGCGAGGCACACTATGAAACTTCATTTGCTCTGTCTACGCATGCTGAACGTATGTAAGAGATTATCTCACATTAACTGCCCTTTTGGTGTGCCTTGCCTACAATAACAAGCTATGGATATGCGGAATTCCATTGCATACGCGACAGTTAGATGCCCTGTTGCAGGTACACCGAAGCATATACTTAAGGGGTCGACCCGAAGCCTGTAAGCTAGGGGGAATCACGGTGCAGTGGTTGTCTTTTTCCGCGACTCTGGTAGCACGCCTGAAGCTTCGCATTTAGGAAAGAGCCCTGTGGACCCATGGGAGTCGAAGGCTATGGTGTCTATGTAGCCAGACAGATCGTAGTTAGGCAATAAATAGCTGAACACTTTATGATTTAACATGGCATGATGGGCAAAGCGCTCGCACGTGGGCGAACAAGACTCGAATGACAGGCGGCCGCCCAGTACTTGGTCCAGTGGCCTCTGTCTACGCTGTTCTTTCTCTCTCTCTCATGTTGCTATAAGTGCTTGGCTTTCATGAGTCAAACTTATTAGGACAATCTCTAAATGCAGTAGACGAGAAGAAATAACGGAGTCATACTGCTGAGGTGGAGGCGCAGCACATCCCGCGGCTGGCTCCTTGCAGCAGACGAATGCCGTCGTTTCTTCCTCCACCCATTTCACTTCCTTAGCGCCTTTTTCAAGCAATTTCGACCTGTTTAGACGTTCATAAAGCCCTGGGTCGTCTGCTATGCTCGCCTCTTGTTCTCTGCCTAGCTCTCCCCTTATCTCCGTAGTTGCCTAGCCACCCCTGCTCATCCCTCCTGGCGTTGTCTCCCTCCCTCTCTCTCCTGTGAAGCTCGTCGAGTGGATCACAGGACCAAGGGGAGAGGCCCTGCGGAGGAGGAAGTCGGAAGAGTCGCGCCTGGGGCAGCAGGAGGGAGACGTCTAGACAGCAGAAGATGTCTGGCCCATTCTACTCTGCCCAGCCCTCCGCGCAGTTCCCACGTACCTCCCAGACTACCCTTGATCGCCATCGAACGGTTCGCTTTAATGACGATGGCGCCAACCCTGCACCTCCTGTACAACCGCAGGTCCTGCGCTCCCGCATTCCTGCTGCAGCGGCGGAGCCATCAGCAGCAGGATGCAAATCTGTGGCAATGAGCAGTGCTATGGGGCGTAAGCAGCCTGCTACATCAGCAGTGCTACGCTCGCAAGCTAAGGCTGCAGGCAGCGTCAACAGCTCGCAGAGCGAGGTGAAAGTGGCCGCAGGGAACGGCTCTCAGTCAATGACCAGCAGCACTCAGTTAGACGGCCGTTCGCATGTGCCACCCCCTCCCTCAGGCTCGAGTAGTCTCGGCTTTGGCTCACAGCAACTGCCTGCTGCTGCTGTCGCAGGCAGCAGCAAATTCCTCTCGCAGCACCAGCAACAGCGGGGCCGCCGGATCTTCGAGATCGAAGGCACGCCTTCTTCCTTGCGTCGAATTGCGGATGCTACTCCGCTGGGAGACAAAAAAAACATGAACAAAATCGCAAATGTCGCCTTCATCCCCTCTGCCCACACGATTTCTCGCAGTGGGAGCTGTCCGGTGTTCTCTCGATTATGCCCCCGACAAGCAAAGGGCCACGCGTCTCTCTTTGGGAATATTCCAGGCTACCAAGGAACCTGCGGGCAGCCGAAGAAAGACAGTCGAGAGCCGTATTTGCAGCAACAGCAGATGCACATGCTTCCCAGCCCTTGCTGTTTCGCCTCCAGCAGCTGCAACAGTGGATGTGGCCGCGGCAGGACGGCGCGTAGAGGCGCCCATCTTCCTGCAGAAGTAGCAGACTACTACGATCTGCAGCAAGAAGTCGTCTCACTCAGAGCCCAAAATGCAGCTCTTTTAAATGAAAGAAACGACCTGCTGGTAGGGCGGTTTGCCTCCAGCAGTAGCAGCTCCAACAACAACTAGTCACTTCTGTGTGTACAGATATATATGTGTACATGCGTGTGCACAACAGAATTCATAGGCTCCAGCCTTCAAATTCTGTGCAGCACGGAGTGGTACAAGTGCCCATTAGTATGCCACCCCACATCTCTGGCACGCATCTTGTGTGTGTGTATGTGTGTATGTGTGTGTATGTGTGTGTGTGTGTGTGTGTGTGTGTGTGTGTGTGAGAGCGGGAGAGAACAGGTGAGATCTCTAGTCACATAAGAGGATGGTGTGTCGTCTCTTGGTTGTATAAAAACATCTGAAGCTGTCGCAGGCTCTCCGACTGAGAGCGGGCTTTCTTGGACGTTGTGGTGGTGAGTGTGTTATGGGTGGGGGGGGGGTT